AGAGAGAGAGAGAGAGAGAGAGAGAGAGAGAGAGAGAGAGAGAGAGAGAGAGAGAGTGCTCAAAGTGGCATGAACAATGGTGCCTCAGGCGTTACGCGGGTTCCCACCTAAGATCAAGAAAGGGAGTGTGACATTGATGGATGCACATGAGAAATCCGTCAGGTGTATGTGTGGAGAGCAAGAGCACCATCATAATGCTTACGACAAAGAGTGTGCTGATCACAGGCCATCCTTATATCACCCAGGTCAATGCAAAGTTGCAGTCAACACAGTCTCCAAGGCTCAATTCGCAAGTCTGCACTTCAGCAGGCAGCGATGGGAACAGATCGATTTGTGGCTATGCTGTGAGTATCCACTAAACACAACTCCACAGAGGGAAAAACAAAAAAAAAAGCACGACTCTGCCAGACTGTTTCGGTGCAATTTCACCTACTCATCAGGAGGCTGAGCCTTGACGGTCAGCCCGGGATGCATTTGGGTGATAGATAAGGAAGGACTCACACCCACCACCTTGCACCCCCCCCCAAAAAAAAAAAGTGGTTGGCGTGAATGACACCACCCCGCAATCCTCCCGTCTTCACCCGAACAGAACGCCTGGTCATTATCGCTGCGTCTGGACCGAAAGTTGCATCTGGACCGAAAGTTGTGCCAAATACAGCTATAATGACCGGGCGTTCTATTCGGGGTGAAGACGGTAGCAGACTGCCGAGGTCAGATCCCTGACAACAAAGGCAGGAAGACTGTGAAACAAGTCCATGATAGCCATGAAAGTTGATGAAACCCACTCTACACACCCCCACTGAGCCAGGGACAACCACTTGCATGTGTGTTCTAGACTGTCGTCAGAACAACCCCTTTTCCACCCGGATGAGTAGATCCAAAATTGGAACAGCCTTACCTTGTAATCGTCTATCTAAATAAAAAAAAAGAAAAAAGAAAAAAAGAAAAAAAAGAAGGTATTTCAACCGTAATTGTCTATATCAAGTTGCATAGCTGTGTGTGCCTGCATGTGTTGTCCAAAATTGGAACAGCCTTACCTTGTAAAGGTATTTCAACCGTAATTGTCTATATCCTGTCTCTTATACACATCTAGATGTGTATAAGAGACAGGCCTTACCTTGTAAAGGTATTTCAACCGTAATTGTCTATATCAAGTTGCATAGCTGTGTGTGCCTGCATGTGTGTTGTCCAAAATTGGAACAGCCTTACCTTGTAATCGTCTATCTTAAATAAATTAAAAAAAAAAAAAAATCGTCTATATCAAGTTGCATAGCTGTGTGTGCCTGCATGTGTGTTGTCATGGGTGCTATACACAACTCCACCCAAAAAAAAAAAAAAAAACATGAGTGTGTGTGTGTGTCTATGTGTGATGTAAACGTTTTTCGTTGTTTTTCTTTTTTCTTTTTCCGCAGGTTGTTGTAGAGGTTGGATGCTACCTTCTTCCCCCAAATACAACGTACGATCATTATACCTGTATTTGAGGCATCTTTCAGTCTAGATACAGCTATAATGACGGTACGTTGTATTTGGGGGAAGAAGGTAGGCAGATGACAGTCACCTTCGCTTTTCGACCATTTGGTTATCCAGACGTTGTACACTGTCCACCACAACAAATCCCTAGATTACACCTGTATTTGATGCATCTTTCAGTCTAGATGAGCAGATCCAAAAATGAAAATGAAACAGCTTCCCCTCTATATATTATATATCAAACAACATAAAGCACACTAACTTCACCAAGTCGATCCAAAATTGAAACAGGTACACCCCCCACCTGTTGAAATGCAAACCCAAGTTCGAATCCAGTTGCAATGAGATGAACATACTAAGATAACTCATAATTGATCATAATTCTGAATCACCTGGGCCAGTCAGTTCAAAGCTGATATCTCAACGCTGTCGCCCTTTATAAAAAAAAAAAAAAAAAAAAAAAAAAAAAAAAAAAAGAAACAGCTTTCTTTCTGTAGCAAAAAAAACCTCTATTTTGCATTTTCCTTGTACAGTCCTTTCTTCGCTTTCCTTACCTTAACTTTCTTTGGGGTGTACCCCTTTCACTTCCTTCTTCTAGCACCCCTTTTAATGTGCCCTCTAACATACAAGGTTTGTTATGTTGATTGTGGTTGAGCGAAGGCTGCCCACATCCCCGTGTGCCATAACGGCCCACTTGCACGCTATGAAAGGAGGCACAGAGTAGAAGGGGGAGGTATACTACTCCTGTTCACTTTTCTTCTGTCTATGAGTGTGCATGTCTGTGGGCAAATGCACACGCATGCACGTGTGCTATAGGAAAGACTAGAGTCATGGTTCATATTCAAAAATTGTTCCTGACATTTATCTATCCAATTAGAAGCAGCAACGTTTTTTTTTGTTTTTTTTTTGAAGTCCAGGTTAGTGTAGAGGCGAGCCTCCTTCACCAAGCCAGTCAAGCTAGAAGATACCTTTTTTTTTTTTTTGGGACCATGCTCCGCCGCTCTATTCGTGGGGAGAACAAGTTGAGATACCGAAGCTAGAAAAGATCTTTGTGTACAGAAAACTGAAAACTGATAAAACAGCGTTCGACTTGCATGTGTTAAACCACCAGTATCTAGGGGTTGTTGAGGCCGTTAACGCGGTAGCCGAATTTCGGCTTGCCTATCGGGTCCATATTCATTCGACCCCCGGGCGTACGAAAAATGAGGTAGGTACTGGTGGTTTAAGCATATTGCTAGTGTTCACATTCCAAGCCAGGATCGAACTCTGTTTTTTTCAACTTTTTAAAGTTCTTTTATTATGCCCTAATTTCTGGAATGTAGGATTTGACAAGACAAATATTAAACACTCGACAAAACAATTTCAAAGTGGAGACTCTGGAGAGAGAGAGAAAGTATATATATATATATATTCTATTTGTGACGATAAATATCTATATATATATATATATATATATTCTGTTTGTGACGATATATATATCGTCACATATATATGATATATATAGATATATCATGGGGTGTGAACCGACAGTCTGTAGAGTTTTCCATCTGGTGTTGGTGAGTGATAGTCTGCTTTGATTTTCGTCACAGGTACCTTGAGGGCAGTGGTTGGTGGTCCCCGCCACCTCAGAGGGGTATCAGTTGTCTGGCAGTCGTTGATGCTTAAGCACAATCGGGGTTAAGGTGGATTATCACTCAGTGTAATCAGTTAGGGGATTCTGCAGCAAGCCTTCCCGCTGAGTCAGTCGGTGTCCTCTTCTCCCTCTCTGCCTACGGTTTATCAGTCAGCTCTGTTTGAATCTATATATATATATATATATACATATATATATAACAGTTTGTCACAGCCCCTCGTTTGTTGTCCTCTTCTCTCTCTCTCTGCCTACGGTTTACCGGGCAGGGCAGTTCTATTTGTGACGATATATACATATATATATATATATATATATATATATATATATATCACAGTGGAGAAGGTAAAGGCAATATAAATGACCATCATACTCACTGCTACGCGCAGATGGAAAGCAAAGTGAAAGGATGACGAGGGGAGGGGGATTTGCAGAGCCATGCGATGGATGGTGATCTGTGGGTGGAAAAGAGAAATGGACAGGCTGGCAACGACTTACCCAAGTACCCATAATGTAACAGCCACCAGCATGGTCGCCACCATGATCCACTCATTCTTCGTTACGGGTCCCAGCTTTCGCAGCTTCTCTGCAGCGATTCTCGGCGCCTCTGGAGTTTCCTTATCCTCCGGCGGGAAAAGTTTATAAATTAGGTAAGGCACGGTCAGCAATGCAGTGAGAGCTGGTACGCTTGCGGCTTTGAACCACGACATCCATGCACTCGGCAGAGACACACCTAGCTCTGATGCCAGCTTAAGGCAGAGCAGATTCTGAGCTGCAGCTGTAAGGTACAATGCACTGGAGTTCCCTGCTGCCTGTTCTCACCACACAAGTTTGAGCAATGAAAAGACAAAAATGTCAATCAGGATCCCTAGGGGGGAGGGGGGAGG